GTTATATATTTATATAGATACATAGCCTCTGTTTTTACTGGCCACATATTATAGAGCTGTCATAGGGAAGTTTGGTACAAAGTGGTCCAAATATGCCTAGTCTCTACCATATGTCGTAGTCCATTCAGCAGGTTTTGTAGAGAAACCACCCTCGCCTTCAATCTCACCCCTACTTCACCAGAGAGGCAGCCCCTGGGCATCAGAAATGCTTAGACAGAGTGGGGAAAATGGAGAATGGAGTTGGGGATTCTTAAGGGGCACAGCCCAGGAAAGAGCTGGTATTAAATAAATGTTTACTGAGTGAATAGAACAACAGATGTGTCTGACACAATCTTAAAAATAAAAGGAACAACAAACTGTGGAGTAGCAAAAATTCAGGGTAGCTGGCCACAAGGACATGCAAATTGCCATAATCCCATTAATTTTACTATTTGCTTCTACTCATTTCATGCCGTACAAATAAAATGGAAGAAATACAGACTCTCTAAATCTTCAGTTGCATCTTAAATGGAATACTTTGGGTGAGTGCGTCCTTTTCTAAGATAATCAAAATGTACCCACAAATATTTCAGGTTAGAGACAAGCCCTTCATTTGTAACAGAAACTATATTTTCTTTACCTGGACAGATAGGCAAAGTACAACTTACGAGCAAAATTGCTGGCATCTCCTGTGTTCAAGAAGAATTTCTGCTGCTCCTCACTTGTCTTGCCAGCAAATTTATCAGCATAGTGACCCATCTGTGGGCACCCTTGATCTGGACAGGGGAAGCACTTGTTCTAATGAGAAGAGGTAGATGAGACTGTAAGGTGGATTTGTCTTTTTATGACTGATACATGTTGGGGAGCAGACACTCAATTTTCCTATAGCCTGAGCATTCTCATTTGTAACAGGAAGGGGGTTAGAACAGATAATTTCTAAATTACTTTCACCCAGGGCAGGGTTCCCAACCCTTATGCATAACACATTAGAATTATTTGGGGAGCTTTAAAAATACTGATGCCCAGGATTTAGGTTAGACGAATTACACCTTCCATTAAGTAGTATGCTGGTGAATGATTAGCAGCCCATTCTCTGGGACAGAAAGCTTTGGTCATGACGTAGAAAGGCTGCCTGAAAGAGGCAAGATTTGAATCTGGCTTGGAAATGATGAGAGTTTAGAAGGAAGAGCATTTACCAATTTCCGTGGTGTAAATCCTCTGACAGTGTCCGATTTCAGACTACCAATATGATGTCCCTGAACACAGAGTGGGGAAGGGATGCTCACACTGGCTCCTATGAGCCAGAACAGGCAGGCTCCAGCCTATCATTTCTTCCAGCTTTCCCTTTGTTGCCAGCCTGGCACATAGGATCACCCTTCCCTCTCTCTGGTGTGTGAGCTCTTCTCTCACACATTCTTCTGTTCCGGTTCTGCCCTTGTCAGAAATGTGCACTCCTCTTCCTTCTAAACTCTTATCATTTCCAAGCCAGATTCAAATCTTGCCTCTTTCAGGCAGCCTTTCTACATCATTGAATTGACTGCTCTTCTCTCTGATTTCCCAGAGTTTTCTCTCCCACATGACTAATCTCATCTAGAATTTTAGCTACTTCCTGCCTAAAGTTTTTTTTTCTTTCTGCACTCCATAGGACCATGAACTCTGAGGGACAATGCAAAACACATAGTGAGAAGGCATTGCAGATCCCGAACACAGCAGGACAGCCGTCCCACGGGGGGTGGTGCCCATCATTCAAGTTAGGACAATAGCTTACAGATTGGAAGGACTTGTAGGAAGCACAGGGGTATGCAGCAAAACCGTCTGGGTTGAGGATGCTGTCTGAGTAATTACTTGTAGCTTCTTAGGTGATTGCAAGCCACAAAGTCCTGGGTTCCTGGGGAAACAAATGAGGACATATGCATAGGTGGTTGGGGGGTTTGGAATAGCTTCTCTGCCTCTGTCTCCAAAGTGGGACCATATTTTTAGAAATTTAAGATAAGTCCCAAATCCAGCCACAATAATAACAATTAACATATAGAGGGCGCTTTCTGTGTGCCGGCCAATGTTTTGATCACTTTATATGCACTGTCCATGTTATCTTCACCTTTCCTAGGAGGTGGGTACCATATCATCCCTACTTACATCCATACGTTGCCATATAATTCATATTTTACAGGAAAATCTACAGATTACAGCCTCAGATTTACAAATCATCACCAGTAAGTGGGAGAGCCGGTAATGAAACCCAAGCCCATCCCTCTAACCTTTGTGCCATCTCGTGTCGTAGGCACCAGGCTGGAGGTCCTCAAAGACATGACCAGTTGTGACATGACCTCCCAGATATGACAAAGCCAGTGCAAGGACATTTTCATGCTGTACTTATGCAAGTGAAAGGAGGGCTGAATAACTTTAAGTAACTTTGTCTGAATATCACTCTCATAGTGTCTTAATCTTCCTTGCAGCCTTTCTTAGCTCCCAGCAACTCAGGCCAAGTGACAAATGTTACAGCACACCTTCCAGACCTGGCTTGAACTTGCTTGGCCATTACTGGTAGAAAGTTTAGGCTACCCTATCCATGCAAACCCCCATAAGGCTGTGAAAGACAAAATGCATTTGTCCTCATTCTTAATAATTGCTTTGATGGCATCCGTACTTGCCAAGCCATTTTTATGAAATTCAATAAAAATCATTACTCCTTAGAAAAACCCACTAAGGATTTTAACCTGTGTGGTGCCACATGACAAGTTTGGCATAAAATTTCACCTGTCCATTGTCTGTTTGACCTCATTAGATACGGAGTCAGAGCGTATCTGAAAGATTGCCTTTATTCCCACATGTGCTAGATCAACAATAGAGAGTTGGAATAGCAGACTCCACTGTAACCGTCCTTACCTAGGATTGTTCCTTATTCCTACTCAGCATAGGTGAGCAATGGCTCTCATTGTGCAAATGGCTTTGCCATGGAAACCACTGGAGATAGTCTCATTCTGGTACTGAATTAGATCTAATTACATAAGTTTGAACCATATCATCGACTCCTAAGGGAGAATTTGCAGAAAAATTCTCTTAGTTATAGTCAGGCTGTTTACTCTTCTGATATTTCCTTTTGCTGTTAGTTAACTACCAACTGATTGTTGGAGTTATAGCATTAAGCAACAGTTTTATAATTCTTTGTTTTTTGTACACTCCAGGACATCAACAGCAATGTTCTAAGGAAGTACAAAATCAGTAGAGCTGAGATATAACAAATGATATGTAGCTACATTTTTCTGAAATAATGTCCAGAAGGGGAATTGTATATTTTTAAAGAAAGATGTGTTATCATTCCTAACATTTGCTCTGGAAAGGCACTGCTCACTCCAGGGAAGTGATGCCCTCCCTACTCCCCTCATCCTCACCAGAGTTGTACCTGCCCAGATGCCATCAAGGTCCACGATCTGTGACAGGGCATTCTTCTTGCATCCTGGCATGTTCTCTCCTTCATTGGGGAAGAAGTCAAGGTGACCCACCAGTTGGTTCATTCCAAAACCTGAAATGTTTTGACCAGCAATGAGCTTTTTGTAATGCAGGGCTATAGTGGTTAAAACATAACTGGACATGCTTGAAGCTGGAGCACTGTGGGTCTCACCTAAGAATGGAATCAGGGGAGCTGAATCCGTATGAATCACATCAACAAAGACAGCATCGGAGGGGTCAAGTTGCACTTCTTCAGCAGTGCCCTCGAAACTTGCTTCTACGGGATCCAACCCTAAAAGAGATGGTCGGCACTGTAGAACAGTAGGCCTGACTGTAGGTGTCAGCAGGATGGGGATGTACAGTTACCTAGGATATGCAATGCCCAACTCAAGGAGTGCCATGCCCTGAAGTTGTGCAGTGCCATGGCCCGGGTGCTGAATATGAGGACCTGCAGTCTCAGTGTAGCTCATTACAAAAAGGCCCCAGTGGCATGGATAGAAGAAGGCAGATGAGCCAAGAAATTGAGATTTTTTTTTGAACAAGGATTTTTTTCCACATCAGATTCTCCCATTTACTTGTATATTTTTCTTCTTCAGCATCCTCTTTTTCTTCCTAAGTTTGAAGAAAAAAGGGGAGAAGCACAGTATGGTATCATGGTTAGGAACACAGAATCTGGGGCTAGGTTATCTGGCTTCAAATCCCTACTCAACTACTTTTGGGGCAAGTTGCAAGTCCTTGAGTAAGTTACTCAATCTTTTTGTGCTTCAATTTCCTTACTTTATAAAATGGAGTAATAATGGCATCTGTTTTATATGGTTATTATAGATTAAACGAGTTGCTATGTGGCCCCTAGCACAGTGACTGGCATGTAGTCATGGCCATATAAGTAAAATATTATTAATATTTTTGACTATATTTTCTTCTTGACAGGGCTCCTAAATTTGTTAATAGTTTTTCGGTCAGAGCAACTGAAAAAGTATCAATATAAATGTAGTTATCTGCTGAAAATAAAGGGGAGGTTTCTTACAAAGATAGAGTTGCTTAAGCCAAACATCAGCAAAATCATGTCTGAATCTCAGTTCCACCACTGACTAGTTGTGTGACTTTGGGCAAGTTATTTGCTTCCTTGAGCCTTCTTCTTTAGTTCTGAGGATTAAATAAGAAAATATAAAGCACTTTTTGCAGTATTTGGAATAAGCAGGCACTTAATCTATGCTTACTATAATAATTATGTTATATAGGTATATTTGGTTGTTGTTATAATTCAAATGCTTTGCTTCAGTTAACAGGATGCTTTTGGCCATAATGGTGGCTGGGTTCCTTTTACCAGCAGAGGCAGTAGGGAAACGTAATTTTCAGGTTCTACTCTGCCCTTGATTTCAAAGAGAAGGGGGAAAGAAGTGACAATATAGCCCCTTCTTGATTATGTTTTGCTCATTTTCATACTAGCCTTACCCGGCATTTTCCTGGATGCTCAGTCTTGCTGGGCAACCTACACCACCAGAAAACTTGGACTTAGAGAGGTGGGATCAGAACAGAGATGGAAGAAGCAAAGGGGGGCAAAGCTATTCCTTCCTTGTCACAGAGACTCATGGGCTTCTTGGGGGCTTCCTAAAATGTTTTGTGCAGGCTCCACCCTGCTCTGCCACAGCCCAGGGGGACAGTCTCCTTCAGGGCAACTCTAAACTGGGCTGCATCCTTGTGACCACATTCTGGGGTTGCTGGGGACAAAACATAGGGCCCTTCCCCTGGGGCCTTATCAGTAATCCTGCCCAAGCCTGGGGTCCTGCTCCCTGCCTCTCCAGCCACGTGGGCTCCAAGGCTGTGGCCAATGAGGTGGACATTGGAAGGTGAGTAGTTGTAGTCTGTCTAGAGAGGGGAGATTGTATTTTCAGGATATTATTTGTGTTGTGGTTTTTTTTAACATGCCAACCTGATAGTATCACTCCTCAGCTGAAAATCTTCTATGCCTCCCACTGCCCTCAGGATCGAACCCAAACTCATTGCAAGCGTCCTCAGGGCTTTCCTAACTCATCATCTATTTTTCTAGACTATTCTCCAGCCAAACCCTTTGTTAGACTTTCAGGCCCTTGAATATGTCGTAGTCTTTCCCCTCTGGACCTGGTTTGTTCTCCCACTGTTTGTGCAGCCCCCAAGCATTTGCCCAGCTGCAATTAATACAGCCTAGCCTTCAACTCTCAACTTAGATGTCTCTTCCTGGGGAGACCTCCTTAATCGCCCCACACACCAGTCTGGATTAGCTGCTCCCTCTTTTGCTCCCATAAAGCCTGTGCTCTCCCCATCAGAACCCTCAACAGATCACACTCTATTGTCATTGCAAGTCTTCACTGCAAGCTCTTTGAGAGCCTGGACCTCATTCATCCTCTTTACCTCCTCACATGCTCCTGATACTGTGCTCCACTCAAGACAAAAAAAAAAAAAAAAAAGAAAAAAAATCCAAATCAAATAGAGCCATGAGGTGTTTGCAAATGTTGTTCTCAAGAGACATTCACACGAAGACACCTCATTTATTGGTCTACAGTGCCTCTTGTACAAACACCAAGGGTTTTGATTTCTGCAGGGGTTCAGAAGTGGGTTCTTTTGTAGACCCTTTAAATATAACACAGAAATGGCCAAGCCCTGGTATCGAAAATAGTCATAAAGGATTACTGACTTAACTTAAAGAATTAAAGACTTAAAGAATTAGCTAAAATGAAAGACCAGAGTAGGAAAAAACAACCAAAATCACTGTGGCAGAAGAAATTCCCCAACATCAACAGAACCCACATCAACAGGCCAACAGAGTTGGTATATTGCCCATTGCACATACTGCCCTTTGGCTCCAACTGTCTTTCCCTAGCAATGCTGTGTTTTGTCCCAAACAGAGCTCACCTAGTATCATAGGTGGCCCCTGAAGCTAGATGGTCTGGGCCCAAAAGACAACACTTCTATTCACCTGCTCTATGACTTTTTGGGCAAACTAGTTAAGCTTCCTGGGCCTCCATTTCTTTATTTATAAACTGAAAATGATAATAAAAGCCCCCACTTCCTAAATGTTAGCAATTATTATTTTTTCTTCTACTGGTGTGTCCTTATAAGGCAAGTTTCAGTTTTAGAAGTAAGATCCTGAAAGAAATGTCAATTCTTTCTAATTCTTCTTTAATCCATAATTCCCAGCTTCATTTTTACCCAACAGAGACCAGTGGGCACTGCTTTCCTCCTCATATGGCCCAGCTGGCTGACTCACCGAGAGGATTTTGAGCTTCTGGGCCACCTGGATGCCCACCTCTCGCATGTTGTTGGCGGCCTGCGTGTAGGTGGTTTGGGAGCCCTTCTTCCAGTCCACACAGATGCAGTTCACCTCCTCCACCTTGAACATGTTCTGGTGTTGGGGAAATACCAGGGTGTTATCATGAAGGCACGAGAAACCCCATCCAGCGGGGATCAGAAATGGCCACTTCTCTCTTCTCTTGGCTGGGGCACTGAAATAAACTAGACTCTGTTAGGGAATCCTGTCGTCAGGAGTTGTCCTTCAGGGCCAATGCTATGAGAAAGGCAAATCAATTCCCTCTCTAGCTTGCAGATTAATTAAAACCTGGCCACTTTCTGGTTTTCTTCAACCAAATTCAATAAGGTTGATTAGGAGGGAAAAAACAATTGCATCATTAAAACAGCCCTATTTTGAAAAGGAAAGGCCTTAACTGAAATCTCCAGTGGCCAGTGTCTAAATGACCTGTAGGTTTGACTGTGAGAGGTCCTTTCAGCCATTTGGCAATGGCCCAGCCTCCTGGGCATTTACTGAACTTCAAAGTGGGAGGGAAGCTTCACTACTTTTACAGTCAGGACAGCACAGTATTTCATGGAGGAAACATGCTCTGCAGATATTTGAAAAATAGAACTGCAGTGATTTAAAAGAGATTGAGAAAGGAAAACTTCTTCCTGGATGTCAAAGGAGCTGATATATCCTTAGGAGTTCTGTCAGGCAGTACATATGACCAGCTTGAGTTTAAAATGGTACTTTGAATTTAAAATCCACTTGAAATCATTTCACATATCGGATGCTAATATGTGTGATCACATACACAGAGATAGAGAGTTTTTTCCTCAGGGCTTTTATTTTCAAAGCAACCCTGAGGAATCTCTCAAAACCCTGGAGAATTTGGGGTATAACTGTATGAATAAGATGCTTATGAATGATAGGACAGGAAAGGTGACAAGTGAAATACCTAGTAAACCGAGGCCAAATGCAGAATGACTTTAATTTTCTGTGTTTGTAATTTTTCCTGTTGACATTACCGACTAGCATTGTTGATATATGTGTGGAAGGCAGCCTTTTGGGGTAAATTGAAGGTGACAGAAAAATAGATTGAACCAGTGTACTCATGAACAGAAAGGATGATTGTATATTGTGCATGTATATATCTGTGTATGTGTGTCTGTGCACGTGTGCGCACGTGTGCACACGTCTGTGTGCATGTGTGTCTCTGTGTGCATGTGTGTGTGCTCACGTGTGTATTCTTTTGTTGCTGTTCTTCTGACTAATATTACATGTAGGTGGGTGGGGCACTTTCTACTCTGCCAGTTTAGTCACCTAATCTAGGTCTCTATATCTCAAATAAATGGTCGTAGCAACACATCTCTGTCAGGAATGTGGGAAAGATTTGTACAAAAAAAACATAATCCCTCGTATCTGGGAATACAATGTACCCTCACTAAAAATGGAAGCAGAAAACATTGAGCCATGGTTTAAGCAGAAATGAGATAGTGGGAGTATTTTTCACATATTTTTCACATGTGGTTGCTTCAGCCTGCAGATGTAGTTCAGAAACATTGAAAGGAATTTTTATTTTTATGAAGAGAGACATTTTAATTATATAGAGTTATGCAATGTATAAGGATTTCCTGTTGTTGAACTCATTGTTGTGAGTGTGTAAAGCGAGGTGGAGACTTTAGTGGGAAGCTGTGGCTACAATCGGCGCAGGGATCAGAGTGGGCTCCTACCTGGCACATGTCTGTCACCCAGCTCTCATCTCCCTTGTCTATGAAGCCGTGGATGATGAACCGGGTCTTCCTGTTCGTTTGAAAATTTGATGCCTCAATCGTTGATGGATCCGAGAGGAGGAGAGTATGTGACAAACACAGGAGTGCTGCATGTTTTTACAGCCCAGCCCTGCAGGCCTGTCTCTCCCCTTCCTCATCTCTGCCTGTCCCAGTGCCTTGACTCTTCAAAGCTTAGCACAAAGCCATCTCTTCCATGCAGCCCACTCTGATCTCCCTTTCTTTGCCCCATCTCCCCAGGCCAGTAACCCCTGCCTTCACTGGATCTGGACTGTGGCTCACAATCTTACCTTCCCTGTGGTTCTTGTTAAATAGTAAGGTCTTTGCCCCAGACCAGAATCACATAACAGCTAGAGGTCTGGCAAATGAGACTCATGCATTCATTCAAACCAACATTTGCTGAAGACCTACTCAGAATAGGTCTGGCTAGCCCCGGGGGCAGCTGGAGGGATGTGGTGGAGCAGGGCATGATGGAGGAAGAGGGTACAAAGATAAGAAACCTGTGGTCTGCCAGGTGGGCACAGCCCCTCACCCAGTTACAGTGTTGTTAAAATGACAGAGGTCTCACTTGAAAGTTGTTTGGGTTTTCGTTGGTGTAGAGCAGGAAGCGAGTGCCAATCTTCTCAGGGCTCCAGGGGAGAATTTTCAAGGGCCTGATTGCAGTCCCAGCCCAGGGCTCAGTGTCAGAAAAGCACCCGAGGTCCTCATAGGAAATTTCTTTTCCTACAGAGAAAGGATGAGTCTGCTCAAGGATTGCCTCCTGAGGCTGGGCTCTGAGATGTCACTGCTGTCCAGGCCTGGTCACTCTCCTGTCCAGGACAGTCTGAAGACAATGAATGCACCCACCTTTGCCCCTCTCACCTTCTTCTTGGCTCCAGTGCCCACGTACTGGCTTGGGACAAGTCCCATTAAATCCCACAGGGACACCAATGGTGCCTTCACTTAGAACTACCCTCAAAATTTAAAAAGTTCTGAGTCCCATCCCTAGCTCTTCTGATATGTTTATTTCACTAATGTGATAACAGACATTGATAAGTCAATATGTTAAGCCAGGAAGTGTTTAATGCTTTACCTAGGAAAGTTGGCCATGGGCACCCTGGGCATGAAGGCAGGCCAGTGGGGAGATGCTCTGAAGCAGGGGCCCCATAAGCTGCCCAGCCTACTCTCCTAGGCAGAGAGTGTCAGCCCCACCGGCCTCTCTCCAGAACCCAGGAGAAGCTGGGAGCCCTGCCATGGCTAAAGCTTCCTCTGGCCAGTGCTGAGATCTTGGATTTAAGCCCTTCCCAAAGGCCAGGTGTGATGTTTCTTACCTTTGGCTGCTCCCAGCAGGAAAAACGTGATTGTCCAGAAGATCAGCATCTGTAATAAATTTAAACATGCTCAGCCTCATCAGCCATTACCAGCGCAATGAGCAAAGACTCTCAGCACTTCAAGGCTGTTTGCTTTGTCTCTACTTCCCAGCAGGAAGGTGAAAGGAGTGGCAAAGGTGGCTTACCCTGTCCAGTGTGCCAGGTGTTCCTTCTCACTGGATCAGGTCCCCAGGTCTTTTTTATTTTTTTATATTCCAGCCTTATCATTTGGTCACTACTTCAAGAAAACAGCAGGTGATGACAGCACATGCTGTGTGCACTTAATGTTTTAATCTGCACAAATATACAAAAACAAGATTAATAGTAGTGGTCAAATCTTTTCACAAGTCTAGGAAGATGAAAGAATGCTTGGTTAAAGGGGGTAAAAAGTCACTAACTTTGTACTTAATGTAACTATGCAAGCACTCATGAGCTGAAGGGGCCCTACTTTTCAATTTTCAATTTCATCACCAAGTAGTTTACAGGTCTTAATAGGGACATAGCATCAAACTCTGATAATGGAGGACAGTATTTCTCACTTAGAATAGATGGAAATACTCTCAAATAGCTGAAAGTAAAGAGAAGTGTCTGATTAAGAAAACGTCTTCTCTCTCTCTTTTTCTCTCTCTCTGGCAAACTAGCCCTACCTGGGCACATGAGCTTTGTAGACAGATCCTCCCATTAACTGCTCGTTCCAGTTATCTGTTACTATGCAGTGAACCAATCTAAAAACATAATGGTTTAAAACAGCAGCAATTACTACATTATGTCACTATAATTTCAACAGTTGGGTTCAGGAGGCTCCAAAAGCCCACTCCCCATCTGTTGAGTTTCCCCAGATCCTCTGAAGGTTGCACACCTGCAGGTAAGACTCAGCCCCTGTGAGACTCTCATGATTTACTCACAGACCTGCACATCTGTGAGCAGCCCGGCCAGTTCACACAGCAAGACAGATAAGCCTTCCCATGGCAAACACTGTGGGTGCCCCGCACCCCCCACCAAGTTAAATATGTCTCAAGTTCATAATCTTGAACAACCAAAACACTGGGATACAGGCCCAAGGGCCCTCTTTAAGAAAATGGAAAGGATTTCTTGTGGAGTAGTAAAGAATAGCAGCCTTCAGTTATTGAACTTTGCCAAGTCAAGTCAGAGTTCTAAGCACTTTGTATGTATTAGCTAATTTAGTCTTAAAACAACCCCATGAAGTAGGTACTATTATAAGCCTCCCTTTACAGATCTGGAAACCGAGGCACAGAGAGATAAGTAAATTGCCCGTAAAGCCACACAGCTAATGATTGATGAGGTGGGATTTGAATCCAGGCTGTATAGAGTGAAATAAAGAGTTGGTGAATATTCAGTTATGCTGAACAAGGAATCAGCAAAGTTTGTTGGGTGTCAACCACACAGAACAGGGGAGATACTTACACAGAATATGTCAAAATAAAAAATACATTTCCCTTAAACTCTGCCAAGCCTGAGTCGTCTGATTGGCCTGTCTAGGTGATGAGGTATTTAATCTTTGGAAGTCTGCTCATGGGGTCCAGGAATGTGCTAGAGCCATTGACAAAGCCTATAGTGAAGTCACAGGCATTTATGCCTTTTTTTTTTGTTGTTGTTGACGTTATAATGCTGGACACAGGAAGATTTGTGAAAATCTAATGGTGGATGCATAGGGAAATCGGTTGACAGGAAGTGTCTGGTGACCTGCCTTCCTCTTGGGTCTCTTGCTACTTTCCACTTCGCCCTCCGCACATGGCCACTCCTGCCTCCATCCAATACCCCGAGTCCTTTTCCACGTCAGGGCCTTTGTACTCACTATTCCCACAGCTGAAGCTCTCTTCGCTGGACCTCCACTGGATTGGCTCCTTGCCATTCGACAATAAGTTTAAATGTCCCCTCTTCAGTGAGGCATTTACTGACCACCCTTAACCCCCACCCCCACTGCCAGCCCCCAACCTGGCCCCAGACCCCAGCTCCCCAGAACCTTGTTTGCTTCCTTCAGATCACTTGACGACAGTTATAACAAGTCATTCACCTGTTTAGTTATTTGCAGTTGTGCTTCTCCCATCTAGAATGTAATACCATGAGGGTAGAGAGTGTGTCTGTTTTGGCCACTGCTATTCCCCCAGCTCTAGAGCCTGGCACTGAAGTGGCTATGAATTTATGAGAGGGTGAATGTACACATGAAGAGTTTGTAGGCACTTCCCCCTTATTCTCAGTGAATTCCAGGACTGGAAAGTGTGAGGAAGCACAGTTTTAAGGAGGGAAGAGAGATGCTGTTCTTCAGAGAGGCAGGAAGAACACGAACATCAGAGATTAGATTTGGGAGAAGTAATCATCACGTGATCTGCCACAGTTTGTCCAGGGGTCAGGCCCCTGTGTCTATCTTACCCCTCATCTCACCTCATTGTGATTCATCTGTGGGCTCCAAGCTCACTCTCGAGGGAAAGGCCCCTCCCTTGGGAGTTCAGTGTTCAAAACTGCCTAAAGGTGGTCAGAGCAGATGTGGGTGTCCTCTAAGCAGGGAAGGGGGTTTAGTGTTTTCAGCAGCTACTTGGATCTGGTGATGAGAGAGAGTATGGGCGCCAGATGCTTGAGGGTAGGGGCATGGGCATTTGGAGGTAGTTTTTCTTTCTTAAAATTTTATTCATCTTTGTATCTGGGTAATATATGCCTCTATACATATGATACAATATAAAGTTAAAAATGTTCCTGTACCAGCCCCTTGTGGTCTTTCCAGAGATATTCTATGTAATGTCTATATCTATATTATATCTATGCCTTTATAGATAGATAGACAGATACAGATATCTCCAATATCTGCCTATAGCTCTCCAACTAAGAACAAAAACTACCATGTTCCTAAAACCCTATAAGCTGAAGCTGGACAACTTGTTGAAAATTTTAATGTGTGAGACACACAGTTCACCAAAATGCCTAATGTCATAACCATAAACATTTAAACTGCAAACCGAAACAAGAAGTTCACTTCATGCTGTGGACAGCTTTTCCCAAGCTGTCAGAACAAGACTCCCTGTAGTAATAAGACTCTTTTCTCTCTTAATTTTTGTTTACTTATGCCTACCAATTTTACGTGGCAGGATAATGCTATATTTAGAATTTCAAAATCAGTAGCTTCTGTGGAATGTTGGCTGTGTCATGCTAAACCAGATCTTTACATGACCTAAGGGGATACTTTAGTCCGCTCTGTGGCTGACTTCAGCAACATTCCTAGTGCAACCGTTGTTGGAATTGTACTAGTGGTCTCTATTATAGACTCAGACTTCTAGAACCACTTTTTATTGCTTCCTAATTTAATTTAACCCCATCATGGGATGACAGATAATAGAATTGCTACCTCCCGGCTGAAGCTCGAGGAATCTGTGTAGTTGCTAACACTTTTTGTTGCATATAAATAAATAGAACAGTCTGGTTATTTAAAATGAGTAGATCCCATGTCTGGCTCTTTTTATGATCTGTTCGATTTTAGTTCGTTTGGCTCGAGGGGATCCTGGGTAAGGGGCATACCAAAACTCTGGGTACTATCCTCCTGAAAGTCATAATAGTAGTCTCTTTGATGCACTATATCCTTTCAAAAAGCCTTAAGTGTCTCCATGCAGCCGTCTGCTGAACATAAACTGGTTTCTCTCTCTGGCTGGGATGACCACAACTCAAGGAAACACATAATAACAAGGGCACTGTAACCTATGATTGACATGTTGAGACCAAAAACCCAAAATGATGGTGACTGAGAGCAGCACTGATGCCCAAAATTCGGTCTTGTAGTCGCCTGAGTGAGAGGCTGACCAAAAGAGCGGAATTGTTAGACTAATTTTATGGGGGGGAGGCATTGTATTCTGAACTAGCCTCGTGCACTAGGCCCCAGAAGACCAGACCAAACCAGAATAGCGTCACTTGTGCTAAGTGCCACATTAATCAAAATGAACTTTGAAACAGACCAGTTTTCAGGAAAAACCCAGGAGATTCCTGTCACCTGAGTCAGCTTAATAAGGAAGTCCCCTCTGTTTTAACCCTGTAAGGAAAGTATCTTTGAAATGACCAGTATGCTTTTTGTTCCCTTGTTTCTACTTTCTTCACCCCTTTTCTGCCTATAAAGCCAAACTTCTCTGCTTAGCTCATCAGAACACTTACTCTGTTTTGTAGAATAAGATGTGGCTCAATTCTAGAATTGCAAATAAAAGCCAATTAAATCTTTAAATTTGTATAATTTTGTGTTTTGACACAATGTATAGTAGGCAAAAACATGTTAAATTTTTACTCGCCATCATTTGAGAAGTTCCCTTATCAAATTTCTCCCTACTTTCCTTTGGCTGCAATATGTGTGTGTGAGTGCTAAGAGGAGTTGGGGCAACAATGGCATCCTTTCAAGCTGACATAGATCTCATCCCTTAAAGGGAGAAAAAATCTGATTTAGGGCTCTAAAATAATATCTTCAAAAAATTTATTGAGTTCAGAAATAGGAAAAAAATTTGAGGAAACCATTCATTTGAAACAATTAAACCAACTTGTAAATGCTTCGTTATGATTAAAATAAATATCCTTTGCAACAAAAGGGTTTTTAACAGATATATCTTTAAAAATTAAATTATTTTAAACTCCTTTGTTTCATCTTATATGAGTAAATTTGAACATAACCCTTTTATTCATTGATTAATGCTATAGGAAAGTTTCATGAAGTCCTCATAGCAATTATAAGTGTAAACATTTCTTAAGCACTCATATGTGGTAAGCATTGTGCTACTCTCTTTCTAGGGAAATGCAAGGCTTTAAAAAATTTCATCTATATAGTGAAGATGCCAAAGTTTATATGTCAAACCAAGATCTCTGTCCTCAATGCCATCCTTTTAGGTCCAAATGCCTGCTTGCCATGGTCAATTGGATGTCTGATGAAGCTCTCAAAATTCACATGACTAAAACTGATCTTCTGATCTTCCTCCTCAATCAGTTCCTTCCAAAGCATTTCCCATTTCAGCCAATAGTAACTCCATCCTTCCAGTTGCAGGGATGACTCAGGAGTCATCCTTGACTTCCATTTTTCATTTAGATATTTATTCCTTCTTCACATTGTCCATGTACACTGGAGATAATTGGCCTCATCCTTGTCCAGGAGTGTGTGCTGTCTGGTTAAAGCCAATTAGCACATTCCACTTCCTTGGCTACAAACCAATCAGAGTGAATCTCAAAAGTTTTGTCAGAAAACATAGGAAGGAAGATTCACTTTCCCTCTCTTACTCAATGTGAAAGAGAAAGTCTATAACCCCAATTGTGGTAAAGGGATATCCTTCAACTGGAGGGGAGCCAGCCTTGGTATAAAACCATCACCATATATAATTGAGCATGAAAACAAAAAGAAGGTGGCTCTTGAAGTGGTAATAGAGTTGTAGGATCAATAAAACCTGAAGCTTCCCCCACCTCTGAACTTTCCAATCATGTGAGCTAGTACTTTTTCTTGTTTAAACCAGTTTGAGTTGGAGTTTTTGGTTCATACAAATGAAAATATTCTAATTAATATTGACTGATGGTCCTTGGAACAAGTCTTCGTATATAGATCAACTTGCATATATCAATATTTTGTTGAAACATGGAATGAATGACTTTTTCAATTTCTCACATTTCATGCCCCTGTGCTTTTGCCTATGTTATTCCTTCTCTCTGGAGTGCTCTTCTAACCATGTCCTCATGGAAAATCCCTATCCACCTTTTAAGAGCTAAGACAGATATCTCTTTCCCTTTTAGCATATTACTTTTTGGACATAGCCTAGTTTTAAATACTTGAGCCTAGTGGGTTCTTTCATTCTTTCCATTAGTAGGATGGTCATTCAAAAAATATTTATTTGTTCTTCTACTACATGCCAGGCGTGTGTCAGGCACGTGTGTCATGCAAACTCCTGAAGGAGTTTACAAATGGAATAGACAGGGAAGTGAGCCGGCAGTTTCAATATGGAGAGGGAGGAGGTCCTGGGTACAGTGGGAGTATAGTGGGGGAGCCCCAAATCAAGTCTTAGGGGGTGTAGCAAATGAAGGTGAGGAAAGATTTCCTGGAAGAATTGATGTCTACACAGAGATTAAAGAACCAACGAGAGTTAAACAGACAAGAAGACAAGGAAAAGATCATCCCAGGAAGAGGAAGAGTTTGTGCCAGCATCCAGCACCATCAGAGATCAGGGCCTTCTTGGGAGAGAGGCCAGACTGTAGAGTTCCAGAAGGAGCATGGTGGGAGACGAGGCTGACAAGGCGACAACCAGACCAAGAGGGAACCATTGAGGCTCACTAAGGATTGTGAATTCTGTCTTGGGAACCCTGGGGAGGATGTTTAATTTGTGCTTTGGAAAGATCAAAGTCACTAGTCACTATAGAAAGGCAATGGTGTCAGGGAAATTCCACTGGGAACAGTAAGACCAGTTAGGCATCGAATGTGTATAGTCCTCATCTTCTTATGTGTCATCACTCCTGAGATATCTGGTTAGGAACAGACAAAGAACTTAGGATGGAAAAGCAGCACTTACTGGTACTTTGTTCATGGCCCTTCCAAGAGGGGATCATTTTGGACCTGGAAGTCTGATCAGAATGACATCAGCAATATTAATAATTAGACATGATGACAGTATCAGGTAAATAATATTTCCAAGCTCAAATTTGTAGCAAAATTCAATAATCATTTGTGATCCTCCAGACCAACTCCAAATTTTGATTTTAATTAACTTATACCAAGGTTTCTTTGAAAATCATGGAAATTGATGACAAAAGAATGTATTGCATTTACCATTAGATTTTATTAGCAGTAAGATTTAGTGCTCAACGGTCAGCAGCCTCCTAACATGGAGTGAGGGTGAGCAGAACTTCCTCCCTCACAGTTTCTAGACTACAGAAATTGAACCTGTGGAGAGAAAATAACAAAAGTCACTTCTTCCTGGCACACAGGTAGAATATTGAGCCTCAGGACACCTCTGCTATCCCTCTCAGTCTGACCCTGGGAAAGGGGGTCCTGTGCCAGAGACTGGACATTGGCTGAGGGAAGACCTCTTCTGTATGAAGAACTTAATTCTCCTTTCATTTTGCTTATGCTTGTGCAACAGCTGAGAGAGGATCTGTCAAAAGATACCCCAAAGAACAGGAAGGGCTGTTATTGAGCAGTTAGCATGCATCTACCAATGCAACTGAGGAAGAGCAGGGTCACCAGCATGTTAAGAAATCAGTGCAGTGTAAAAATTCTTAGATCCCAGTGTTACGTTGGCCAACCACTCTTATTTTCATATTTGAATAGAAATGACCAATTTTTCTCATTAAGATTGAATAATACTCAGGATGCTTTACAGATGATTTTCTTTAGTAAAATATATTAGCATATGTAAATCACCTGGCACATCAAAAGTGCTCAGAAAATGCTTTTTTCACTTCGTCTTTATTTCCCTCTATGTGATCTGATGGATGGCAGCCTCAAAAATGGCACATTAAAGGTTAAAATCTAATACTAATAAAGGACTCAAGAACTGAAGAGCATTCAATATATATATAAATAAAGGTGAACTGAATTTGTTTTGTAATAGTTAAAAACTTGCTGGAGTAAAATCTGCAAAGTGGTGATAACAATAATAATAATACCTACTTCACAGGGTATACATTTTTATTTTAACAGCTTTACTAAGTTTTAATTTACCTAGAATAAACTGCATATATTTAAATTGGTAAGTTTTCATATACACATACAATGTGCACACAGCTCTGAAACCACCACTGAAAATTAAGGCTGTAAACATATCTACCACCCCTAGATATTCTTCCTGCCTCTTTGTAATTCCTTTTTCCCAGCCCTGCCCACCTTTCCTCCTCCCTGGCAACCACTGATCTGCTGTCACTATGAAGTAGTTTGAATTGTCTAGAATCTTATATGAATGTAATGTAATGTGTATGCACTCTTTTCTCTAGCTTCATTCATTCAGTGTAGTTATTTCAAGATCCATCCATGTTGCATGTATCACTAGTTCATTTCTTGTCACTGCTGAGTAGTGTTCCATTGTATGAATAGACCGCAGTTTATCCATTCTCATGTTGGCGGTCATTTGGGTTGTTTCCAGTTTTTGGCTATTACAACAAAAGCTGCTATGAATATTCATGTACAGATAGATATCTGGATAAACATGTACTTTCTTGTCTCTTTGGTAAATACCTAAGAATGAAATGCTTGAATGATAGGTAGGCATATGCTTGGCATTTTAAGAAACTGCCAAACTGCTTTCCAAAGTGTTTGTCTCATTTTATATTCCCATCAGCAATGTATGGGATTTCAAGATTCTTCATATCCTCAGTAATGCTTGATATTGTCAATTTTTTAATTTTAGCCATTTAAATAGATTTATGGTGGTATTTCATTGTGGTTTTAATTTGCATTTTCCTAATGACTAACAGTGTACCTTTTTCTATTCTTTCACTTCTTGAAATCTATTTGTGTTTTTGTATTTAAAGTACATTTTGTATAGGCAGAATACAATTGGATATTGATTTTTAAAAATTCATTGTTATAATCTCTGCCTTCTAATTGTGGTATTTAGACTGTTTTCATTTAATACAATTATTGATGTGACTAGTTGTAAAGTTATTGTCTTTCCCTCATGTCCTTTGTTCTATTTTACCTCTTTTTATGCTTTATTTTGGATTTTTTTGGTTCAATTTTACCTGCTCTGTTGGTTTATTAGTCCTTTGGTTAATTATTTTAGTGGTTGCTTTAGAATTTATAGCACACATTTTTAGCTTATCACATTGTACCTTTCAGTAATATACCAACTCACATATGGTATCATAATCTTCCAATAGTATATTTCTAGTTCTCCCTCCTGCCCTTTACAGCATTGTTACCATATATTTTACTTATGTAGTACATATATTATAAAGTCCCCCAAATATTTTCA